TTATTATTATTATTATTATTATTATTATTATTATTATTATTATTTTCACTAAGATTATCAAATTTGCCAAACAAACGCTGTCGGGATTCGATGTTACTAGTTGCTGGACTGCTCTACGCGGCAAACGTAATTTTGTAGTGTTCAGCTCTCGGAACTTGTTGAGCATTTTCAGATTAGCTTGAGAACTTTTACCATATTCCCATCCGATTACAAATTTAGCTTGTCTTGGCAAAGTATGGTCAAAAGCTAAGTACAGCAATTCTGCAGTCTTTTCGTTACCTGAATTTTAGTATTATTCAAGAGAATGATTATTTTTAAAGAGTAGCTCAAAGTGCAAGGGATTCAGGGCTTAAACGATTTCTGGCTTTTCTGTTGACATTTATTGCGGCGGAAGCTTTGTACCTGTTGAACTTTTAGATAATTAAAGAGAAGAAAACTGTTTTGTAGGCTTTAAAAACAATGTCAGCTATCAGTGGCTTAAATTATCCGTTGAAAAAAATCAACTTGATGGCAACATTTTTACCGGTTTATGGTGTTGAAAACTTTGGTCTCATACTTTTGGACGAGCGTTTTGTGGCTTATCCGAAATATCGATTAGCACACACGATTCTGGCACATGAAGTGGCGCAGCACTGGATTGGCAATATTGTTACGATCAAAAACTGGAAAGAAATGTGTCTCCAGGTTGGCATTTCATTTTAGCTCATTCGACTGGTAATAGATTTTTATTACTTATACTTGCAATTGGGCCTAATTTATAGCCCGTTTCCGCAGCACTAGAAAGGATGAAATTTTAGGCGGATGTTCCCCGTCCAAGTACAACTTAAATATTTCAAATTCAGCCTTCAGTTATGAGCAGTTCTCACATGTGGATACCTAAATGTTTTGGCAAGAAAATTGCTCACTGAACAGCTAGGTTAATTTCAAACAACGGCCGTTAAATGGAATTGTACATTTGCTTTATGAAAATTTATGGTGATTTACGTAACTGAGCGCAGAAGACAC